CCCCTACCAGTGCGTATGTACTTTGTGCACGCCGCCTTATAAGTTTATGAGCATAATGTCGAATAACCCTTGTATAAAAAAGTTTTGTGTACTTAGTTTGTTATTCAAAGTACTTATAATATCAAAGCAAATATATAAAGTTAAGTGAATTGTGTAACAACTTCAAGACAAGCCTGATAACTATTTAAACATAATAATTACATAAGATTAATACTCTATGAAAGGCTGTGAAATACACACATTTTTTGATAATTAGGACTAAAGTCCTGAAACTTTTAATTCAGAGAATACTACAGATTTTATTAAGTATTTATGTTTGGATTTGTTATACAATATTCTCAACTTAAAAGTTTATTAAAAGATTATTTGAAGATTATTTAGATTAAAGTATATTAACGCATTGAGTGTGAACTTATGTAATAAATATTATGGTTTAAATAGACATAAAAATATAAATGAAATTTAAGCAGGGTTAATGTAGTAATCTAAAGATTTATGTTAATATTATGCAAGACAAAAGTCAGTTAAAATATGTACAGTACCTTTGAAGTCAATACATTGATAAAGAGTATATTGATAATACCGTATCATTATCAATATCAGTATCCGTTTGACATTAGTTTTGACAGCAAATTAAGGCATAAAGGGATTACAGGTAAATAATTTAATCAAAAAATACGTTACTGGTATAAATAACCAAAGGCAATTGGATTATCGACATTTAAAAAATTAAACATTTGTTTATTTAAAAATTAATAATTTATTGATTTTTAAAATTAAATACAATATTTGTTGTGTTTTTGTTATACAAATAGATTGAACAAAAATTATTTAATAAATATACTTACAAATATATATACAATTGTAAACTTATATACATTTTAGACAACATTCTCTCTTAATCTTACTTTAATTTCATATCAAACAAATATAATTGCATTCAATTTATATTTTAATAGTTATTCATAAACTAATTATTAGTTTCATATAATATGATCTTCTAATCAATAAAATCACATTTTATTCATAGATTTAGTTTTTACTATTCATTATATTTTAATTATAGTTTTTCTTTTAAATTAATTATCTCTTATATATTAATTGAAATAATAGTAATTCGTTTCGAGTTTTCCAATAATTTACGGTTTCATTCAAATAACAATAATTGCTATGAATTACAAAACTTTCCATAGTTTTAGATCCCATTTGAATGAATGGTGAGTCGAAAGGCACTAAAAATATTTATCTATTTTAAAAATAATTTTCAAAATTCATTGAAAATCATAATCTCAACTATTATTTAAGAAACGAATTACAAATTATTATTATTATTATTATATGTGTTTTTAGTGACAATTTGTGTGGAAAATAAAAATAAAATTCGTGAATAAAATAATCAAAAATGTGAAATCAAATTAGACATGACTTGAAAACACAAAAATCTATCAATTAAAACTCCTATAAAACATTATCATCTCGTTATATAATACAAATAATAAATAAATTTACAACAAAAAAGTGTATAAAATTAATTAAATATTCACTGATTTGTGTCACTAATCACTTAAAAGTCAAATTCAATGGAAATGTGTTTTTGTGGAAAAAATGTTCGTTTCATTAGAAAAGTCCACAAAATATCTCATAAATCACTAAAACTTATAATTAATAAGATTAGCGAACTTCTGAACGGACTGTTGAGTCAATGGATCCCTTTGTAGTGAATCCATGATCTCTGTGTTATATTTGACAGAATAGACGAACAGCTCTTTGAGGGCACAAATGATGTCAAACTCTCCGGTATGTGTCTGCGGGTAAGAGATGATAAAATTAGTAAATTGTGCCGAAAATTAATTATAAATATCAGACGTACCAGTGATAGGCATTGCATGACTGCACTCAACTCCTGGTCAGTTACGGCCGGCATATGTGAGACGTCGGCATAGAATTTACTGACCATTACTTTATAATTAGGGATATCTTTGGCAAACAATAACTTATTTGATGGCGAGTCCTATGAGCAATGAAATATACATAATTAGTTATCTGTGTATCTGTGCATAACAAACAAACAAAACTGAAGTCTGCATACCTTTCCTAATCGGTGTTCACTCGTAGAACAGGAATCCATAAGTGTTTGTGCGATGACTGACAAACTGGAGTCAATTGTAGGCGTTTTATTGACGTCTAGTATAAAGTCGGGGTTTTTGATGAAATTAACCCAAAACCTGAGTGGAAGACAATTGGATTTCCAGGCGTGAAGTACTTCTGGATCTGTGATCTGATGCTTATTCGCGGCCGCGTCTAACAAATCAAACACCCATTTGACTGCCGCTAAATACATCAAAAATAAGTCAATATATGAAGAAAAATACATCAAAAATAAGTCAATATATGAACAAAAACTGTAAAATTATTTTTTATAAAGCGTTAAATACCGGGAAGTGTTTCGTTTGCCGACAGAATCGTGTGGAAGAAGTCGTCGACAAACTTCTGAACGGTTCCTTTGGTGGACAGGAGTCTTGTGAGGAATATCTCTGGAATGGCTTTGTGGAGGAGAGCGTCTTTGGTGTCGATGGAGTCATCGTTGGGTTTGATTAGATGCCAATACCTATCGGTATCCAAATCACTGGTTATGAATGGGTGACTACTTTTGATGATCATCGGTGACAATGAGTTCCTTGTGCTGCAAGACATGTAACTATCGGACGACTGGCGCATCACAAGCGACATTAGGGCCCAACTCTTGACCCCGTAATGTCGCAATGAATTGATTCGTTGCCAACCTATTCATACAAATGATTACAGAATTAGAAAACTTGCAAAAATGTTTGCAATGTATAACACAAACCGTGCTCTGATTTGGTGGTCAAGTCCTCGTCCTGTAGGATAAGGTGTCCGCCCCTCCCGTGCCTCCACTCGAGATCCACGTCATGAATGGACGGCCGCAGAGAAAACGGTGTATTCTTGTAGAGAGCGTCCAGCAGTTTAGCCTTCACTTGACTAATACTATCGCAATCATTGACTCGACACAAGATTTTCTCGTTTTCGTTCTCCTATTCGTATAAATAATTCATTAGTTTTGAACCAATTTTAGAGATTTCATAAAGGATTCAAATAAATTTGGTCTTTAATTACATCAACAAATACCTGAAACACTTGGATAATGATCTGTTCGTAGTCGGAATAGTGTTCCCGAAGTAGCCGTTCCTCTGACAACGAATACCGGGCGTCGTAAGTGACAGTATCGATGGGCCCCTTCTCTACCTGGCGTTTGATGGCCGAGAAGAGTAGGAAGAGCTGAGAGCCGGCTTGTTCTCGGACGTAGTCGTACATCGATAGGGCCAACCAATTGGTCAGCATTTTCTCGACCACTGATTCAGTTCTTCTGAGCATTAGTTGCGGATGTTTTGATGACACGCTTTTGTCCACCAATTGAAACAGTAATGTCCGCAACACATCCGTCGCGTACTCCATGCGCTCCATAAGGATTATCATGAGAAGTGAGGCCACGTTTACACTAATGGATACAAAGTTACAATAATTAACTTAAATAATTGTTATTCAGTTGAATGTTTGTTGTAGACATACCGGTCCCTAATGCTGAATGTCTTTGAATTCTCCAGACTATTGATGAAACTCAAGAGGAATGCCTTATTGTTGAGCAATTGCTCGAACTGAGCCATAGCTAACTCATAGATATTGTAAGCGCCGTTCGTTCGGATACGAGTGCACTGATAGAGCGGATGATCGGACAGACCCGGGAAAAACACTTTCATCACATAAGTCCTGTGATCGAGAGTGGGAATACCCATCGACACCAAGTCGTTGGTCAGGTCTGTCATATCGGTCTGGAGTTCGGCGAAGGCTTGTTTGCATTCGGATCGGACACTGTTCTCGAGAGTATCCATTTGCATCTGAATGCGTTTGTACTCCCGTTCCGCTTGCGACGACTTGTGTCTCATTATCGCCAGTGATATCAACACAAAGAGTATGAGTGCCAGCGATGAGACAGTGATGACCACAATGGCGATCGGCGGCAGTTCAGTAGACTTGACCACTTCGTACTGCAAATAACCGATTTCGTAGCGCAGGTTTGAGCCAACTTTCACCACAACCAACGGTAGAGCACTGGGAGTTCGGCGCCCGATCTCATCGGTGCCGTCGGGCTGGAGCTCAGGCGGCAGACACACCAACTGTGTGGCCGCCAAAGACGTCAAATTACACCATTTGGTGCCAATCGTAACGTTCACTTCGGACTCAGTGCTGGCCAGTCGCAGGTTCTCGCCCTCAATGACCAGTGACTCTCCCTTATAGAGTTTGAGGCCCTCGTCGAAGGCAAAGAACTTGGGGTCGGGAACGTAGCCCAGGTCTGAGTGGACGGTCGGGAAATTGGTGGCCAACTCCTTGACACTATTGACCGCATCCATAATGAAACCAACTCTCAGACGAATATCATCCGTCACTTCGTTGATGTTATAGGAGGCGACCAGAGAGGAGGCGTCCAATTGCTCGCGATTTAACATATCGACTAATTGTGGGCTGACTGGTGGAGAGGGGCACACCATCTGAGAGCCGGAAGACACCTCACAGGCGCTCTCATTGACAACATTACCCTCGCTATTGAAGACGGCGAGTCTGGGCTGTTGTATTGCATCCAAATTAGTGCCGATTATAGTGACAGTGCGACCGCCGGCCAAATAGCTCTTGAGTGGGTATATACGCAAAATGGTTGGGTCGGGTACGTAACGGAAGGGTCGGGCGAGTGTCAGCGTTGTGTTGTCTATTTTGAGGATAAGGTTTCGCACCACATATGACGTGGCCTTTGAGGCAGTGGTCCGGCAACTGATTTGCGTGGAGCTGACCAGCATTTTGTCGACAATACACGGAAAGTAATCCAAATATATCTCTAAGTTTGAGCCAATGTTGAGGTTAGTGCCGGTGATGTAGATTCTGGTGCCACCAGAATGGGGGCCAATGTTGGGATGGGAGCTAATGATTTCAGGCACTTCGTATCGGAACTTGTCTTTGGCGGCCGTATAACCGGCCCGATTGCCCACCACTACATCAGCCAATAGGGGCGGAGAGTTGCCGGGGCTTACAGGGCTTGTCCTGAAATAAGAAATACATATATTTCATGAGTCTTTGAAAACGTCTTTTGATGTGATTTAGTTCTACAGTATATATGATTTAAGACAACAATATATTATAATAAATCATAAGATATCTAACCTGCAGGTGACCCGCACTGACACACTATAATTGAGTGGTACGCAGGGCTGTCCGCCAATGGTTATCTTATCTCTGATCTCATCCAAATCTGTGCCCAAATTACTGCCTTCGATGGTGACGAGAGTGCCGCCGTCCATGGGTCCGGACAACGGGTGCATCCAATCGATTCGCGGCGGCGGACACACCTTCGACACCGGCTCCTGACATGACTTACTGTATGAGCACTGATTGCCGCAGAATCCGCACTCGTAAGCGCTGCTCAACGTTAGACACAGCGAACAGTCGGCCCTTCCGTTATGACTGCCCAAGAGATGACACTTATATACAGTGACTGTCGAGGAATAATAGGGTTTGTGATTAATTATGGGCTCATAATATCATATATTTTATTGTTTATTAATATGTAATATAATTAATTACCATTAGCCCTATCAATGAATGTGTCGCCGTTCCACATGACTGTCACCGACGCCTCAATTGATCCCATTTCTGTCCGATACGAGTACTACACATGAAGACATGACACATATTTCGGTTATTGATATGATTTTTCAAGTTATTAATAAAAGAAATTATAACACAATAGTAATAAAAACAATAGAAACATACTTTACATAAAAAGTTTTATAAATTATTTATATTTGTTATACTTTTTTTGAATGAGAATTTAGTTAAAATATTTCTTATCATTTAACTAACACTTTAGCAGTTTTTCAAATCAATAAATGACTTTTTTTTATAGACATTCACTACTGAATACTCGCACTTCATATTTAGATTAATTAATTAATTAATACTTTGATCACTTGCAAGGGTTTATCATTATAATAAAAAAGATCGTTTGCTATTTCAGGCTCTAAACTATTCCTCTATTTTCATTAGTTTTTTGTTGTCTGTCTTTTGGGTATATTTTTAGATAAATTAAACGAATAGATCGACGAAAAACTTTTTAATTATCAAAATTACTTTCGAGAGACAAAAGCGAAGATTTTATTCACAGATTACTTACAGCCGTTTCCGAGCAGACAATCCTATTGTCTTCAACGCGAGCGCTCACCAGTTGTTTAGTGTCTTCAATATCGACAACACATCGGAAGCTCGACTGAAATGCAAAGAATAATATTATAATAAAGTATAAGAATATTAAGTAAAAGATAAAGTAAACTCGTTTTAAATGTTAAATGAAAATAGGAGAGAGAGAGGGGAGAGAGAGGGAGGGAGGGAGAGAGAGAGGGGAGAGAGAGAGATGAGATGAGCGATATACTTTAGGAAATTTATTGAAAAAACATTAAGAATAATAGTTTTATAAATCAGCAGAATTTTATTTTTAAAATAAACTCTTTCTCTATCCTCTCATATACTGTATATATAT